AAAAGCAACTAAAAAATCTCAAGTTGAATGCAACTTTGTCAAAAGTAACTAAATAATTTTTTTTGGGTTAATGATTTAATTAGCTGTACTACACTATACTTTTTCTCGTTAATTCTAGGAACGAAAATGGATTGGTAGGGCAATAGCCCTATCAAAATAAGTAAATCCTCACCTCATAACTTATAAAAAATTCTAACATTGGAAAACCTTTCCATCGAATCATCTCGACTTGAACATTATGGTTGTGAAAAAACGGTACGATTTCAAACTCCAAAAATAATTTATATTATAGCATATTACCTAGACCGTCTATTTTGCCTTGAAAATAAATGTTCACAAATCTACAAAGATCTTTTACCATTTTTTTATTTCCAAAATTTAAAGCCATTATAGAGCTTTCTGTTGATTTTGAAGCCATTATAGAGCTTTATAGAGCTTTCTGTTGCCGAAAGTACTTTCCAAATGATGATTTGAGGTAAGTCTTTATTTCATTTTTTCATAAAGCCTGCACCTTATATATAGACCTCATCCTTTTAGGGATGCTTAGTTGCTTCATGGAAAACCACCGCCCCTCAATTATGTTTTTTTTCCCATCACCCAACTTGTGTACCATATAAACACGCAAGCCCCTAGGCTCATAACTTCAATTGAATTTTGCAAAAAATGTTGTTTCTATACTTTTTTAATAAGAGATTGTCTACATAGAGAATATTTATCTTTTGTATATAAATGTCAAATTGAATGGTTTGAGACGAGTCACAAAGCCCGAGACACTCTTACAACCGCACATAGAAATTTTAGAACTTGGTCATATAAGGTATTATTGAGCAAAATTGTAAACGTCCCCGTGTTTGATAGTTAAAGTGCATTTATAAAAGAAAAGGATACCATGATAGCAACCATGCAGCAAAACAGTGTGCTAGCAGCTCCTCAGCAAAACTATGGCAACAGAAAACATTTTCCACCGTTCGTTGTTGACATTGGACGACCGTGGAATAGCTGCTACACCTAATTGCTCTCGTAGTATACAAACATCTATATTTATTGAAACCAAAAATGGTTTCTTTATAATAAAATCTCAACCAATTGCATATCAAAAAATATAAATCTGAACAAAATGTTTCCTAAACAAATGTATAAATACCTCCATTCAGCTGGTCATCTGCCATCTACAATGACATCCGAATCCGATATCGACATGGACCATGATGGGGACAATTGCAGGTCCCCAAAAGTCGGGTGGTCCTCACTAGGGCCCGGTCTCCAGGACCACACTGGGTCGGTAAAACCAAGCTTAGGTTCAGGCCTCAAAACAACTGAATCGCCATCGAGATCATCTGAACCAGGATCCTCAAGGGTCCGAACCACTTGTCTCATGGTCGGTCGAGTGCTAGGATTAGGACATGTACAGAGCAAACCTAGTCTCAGTAATTGATCGACCACTTCCTCATCCACTTCGCTTGAGCCACTGAGCCTAGGGTCCAGTGCACCGATCAGGTCGCCCTGCTCAAGCATACTCCAAACCCATTCGACCAGTGGCTCACACCCATCTTCTAAAGGCCTCCTCCCACAAACCACCTCTAGTATTAGGACTCCGAAGCTGAAAACATCGGTTTTCACCGATGCTTTCCCACTTCTTACCATCTCCGGTGCCATGTATCCGGCAGTCCCAACCACACGTGTGGTGTGTGCTAGTTGCCCATGCTCATACATTCTTGCCAGTCCAAAGTCACCTAGTTTTGCACACATATCTTCGTCTAGCATAACATTGCTGGCCTTAATGTCTCTATGCAAGATCCTAGCTTCCCAACCTTCATGAAGATACAACACCCCATCTGCCAGACCTTTCAAAACCCTGACCCTAGCAGCCCATCCCATGACTTCACCTCCCATGCCCTGAAAAATCCTGTTGTCTAAGCTCCCATTCTCCATGTAGTCATAGACCAAGATGAATTCCTTTGGGCTTTTGCACCAACCCCTTAATCCAACTAAGTTCCTATGCTTTAGCCGCCCTATACTTGAGACCTCAGCTGCAAATTCTCTAACCCCTTCTTGTGATTCATGGCTTACACACTTGATTGCCACCTCAGCCCTAGAACCTGCTAGGACACCCTTAAAAACCCTAGAATTCCCACCATTACCCAACAATTGGGTCTCACTAAAGTTTTTTGTGGCACTCAGTATGTCTTGATAGGGCACTCTATGAGGCCAATACTCAATCTCCCAGTCCTCAATACCCTCATCTTCTCCCCCTCTATTTCTCCTCTTTCTAAACCATAAGAATCCTATTATCAATATCAACCCAAAAACCACCAATCCCCCATTTGAGAGGCCCACAATAAAGGCCTTCGACCCAATCACCCCATTCTTTGCCTTCAACCTATAATCAGGCAAACCACTGGTGACCAACCCCTCACTTAGAGAGAAGTTTCTCTCACTAAAACTCCACCCCAATATCCTATGAGTCTCCACCCTCTGCCCTGTTGCAGCAGAGAAACCAACATAAGCCTCCTCATTAAAAACACTTGTTAAATTCAACTCAAGAGAGATCAAAGGCCAACCGGGTTTTCTCTGCCCTGCCAAAGCCATGGAAACATTCAATCTAGGCATTGAATTATTACCCCCAACATAGTAATAATCCACCCAAGCTTGGTAATTCTCGCCATTTTTCAAATCCATGCCTTCAAATTTCCCTGAATCCCATTTACCAGCAGAGTGGGAAGCCACTGAAGTGGCATTATTAACATCAACACCAACATGGTTATCGTCAATATCAGCGAGGTCTGGATTCTCGGAAGTGTCGAATTCGATCGCAAAGATGTGACTTTGAGGGGAGCGATCAGAGGTTTGATTGAAGAGGCCCAAGTATTCAGCGGGCGAAGTGAGTAAGAGAGCAGTGGTTGGAGCAAAAAAGAGCGCAATGCCATGGCCTGGTAAGAGGTCTTTATTCGGGGTAATGGAGAAGATGAAAGAGGTGGAGAAAGGAGATAGAAAGGGGCGAGTGGTTAGAGAGAGAGGGTAAAAGGCGTGGCCTATGGAGAAGGTGGTATCGTTCGTTAGGACAAGGCGGCCCGAAACGAGCTGAGAATCGCTTGATAATAAGAGGCTTGAGGAGTCGAAGTCATTGAAGAGGAATTCAAGGGGGGAGATTGGTTGCAGGAAAAGGGCTGAGAGGAGGAGGAAAGGGAGTTTAAGGAAGAGGTCCATTTGGGGGGGGAGGTCTACAGAGATAAAATGGCGGTCGGTGGGTTGCGAGGGAGAAGTTTGGAGGAGGCTCCTTTATGATAGGAGATCTAGAGAGAGAGTGGAGATAGGAGATCTAGAGAGAGAAAATGGTGGTGGGAGAGGATTGCATGATCACGCGGTCCACCCAACACTTGTACTAACGTTCTTTCTTTCATGCTGAAATGGACTTTGGTTGGTCACCTTAATGCACTTATGAAGCCCCATCTTTTCTTCCACCATTCCTACAAGGAAAAGACCCTTTGCAAAACTAATGGGCAATGCCTATCCCACTTGAGAATAACTATATAAAAAATACGATGAAATATGTAATGTTTATTATCCATACATTTCAAAAAACTAATAGAGGATGTTTCGTCATCTCAATCACAATAGGTATGGACATGAGAAAAAATAGATTTCAATTTCAAGTATTGAAAATAATGCATCTTGTAATGCATTTGTTAGACTGCTCTTTCTATATTTTTTTTAGCTTTAAATTTTATAATTAGATATAAAAATAAATTTTTCAGGCCATCACAAAAATTTTCAGTACTGAAACAACGACTTTCGACACTATTTGAAGGCATGCCTTACGATTGTTTAGGGCCTCAACCTTATACAAGCCACACCCTTTTAAATATGGAAAACTTTTATATGAGGGTGAGGCCCTAAACAATCAAATTAAGACACACCTAAAAAATTTACTTGATCTACACTATTTATACTCAAATCTATTATTTCAACCTCAAGATGTATAGGAATGAAAAAAAATGGATTTCAAGTCTTGAAGATAGTACAGTTTGTGAAGTATTTTTTGGACCTTTGATTTTCAAAATTTTCAAGTATTCATAGATCTACTCGATCTACACTCTTTTTAAGCTTTAAATTTTATAATTAGATATGAAAATAAATTTCAGTCATTGCAAATATTTCTAATGCTAAAACAACATTGTTTAGGGCATCAACCTTATACAAACCGCACCCTTTCAATATTAGCTTCTTTCAAAAGCTAAAACAATATTGTTTAGGGCCTCAATGTCCATTAATCAATATGAATATACAAGCTTGTCTTATATAGACAATTACATATGATAATAATATGACTAAATCATAAACACTTATAGTTTACCAAGACTTACCAAAAAATAAAAGATATTGTACATACCCTTCCCATAAACACTAATTACAAATATTACAATATACACCTTCCATATCAACCTTAAAGACAATATATACTTTCTTTTGACATTCCATATAATATATACTTTCCTTTCACACAAACCACCTTTTCCTTGGCCTTTTAGAAATTTCTTGAACCATTAGTTTCGTTTCAGTCGAAGCTTTCGTATTTTAAGCATAAACCGTAGAGAAGCATTTAAGCATAAACTGTAGAGAAGCGGAGCATGGTACTGTAGCTTCGGGCTGCTTTGATCAGAATTAGATCTGCTTCCGGTCTACTTCGGCCAACAAAGAAATATCCATGTAATTTTTTATTTTTTATTTTTTATTTCCTTTATTCATATATATTATATAGATAAATATATAATTTATTTATACTATTTTTTTTTAAAAAAAAAAAGAGTTTGAGATTTTCCTCTGAATCGGCCTAAACACCAAATCATTTTCTTTTTTTTCACCAAACCGAAAAATACTCTCACCAAAATCTGACATCGGTTTCCATCCTCAAAATTGTATCGAAAGAGTTGTATTCAAAGGCAGAATTGTAGGACCACACCACATATTCCAAAACCTTTTGGAACGTCAGCTATGCGGTCCGTCTCGTTAAGCCATCCACAATTTCAGATCATGCGAAATCGTGCGCGGTTTCCAATTTTGTGGAGATCCGATAGGAATCCAATATCTACGGTTGTCCCACTAAGATTTTTCCATTCATGAGCTAGGTACCTGCTTCATATGGAGTTTATTTGGGATTTTTTATTATTCCATATATCTCCTAAGGTCTGGACTATGGTTTAATGTGTCGAATAATATGGGTTAGGGTTGCATGTTCCTGGGAAATTCCCCTTAGCAAAAAACTAGGGCGGTGTCTACAACATCATTACAGATTATATATATGGTAGTATTTTAAAAAAGGGCAATCCGGATCAAGAGTCATTAATTTGGATCGAGAATTGGTCTTAGACTGACGTGGTTCTTCGTTAGAATTGGGTTCAATTTGTTTTCTTGGAATCCCCCTGTTTTGTCAAAGAACTGGGAGATCCGGATTGGCTGAATTTCCCGGTTCCCAAATTTTACATTTTTAAGTGTTTTAAAACTCTGATAAGTGGGTGGATAGTCCACCCCACAGTTCTGCACCATATCGTTAGATCAGCAATCCAAATCATTCAGAATTACTCTAACCCAAATAAAATTAAAATAAATTAAATTAAAATTAAAATTGGGGTTTATGTGACGAGGATTTAGGGGGAAATTAGGAAAACATTAGATGAGCTTAAAAAGGAAAGAAATAAATACATTTTTTAAGACCAACTTCCACATGAGAAAATCGGTCTAATGTGCCGATTTGGTTCAACAATTCTCCAATCCAAACGGAGCTTCCCTAGGCCAATTCACCGGGCCATTGTTCGCAAAATCGCCCAATCTAACCACTAACTACCCGGTTAGATCAGAACCGGCTAGTGGTTTTGGGCAGGTGGGGTGATCAACTGGTATTTTGGGTGATCAACCGGTATTTTAAAAAAAAAAAATGTATATAAATTCTCAAAACTAAGGAATTTGATTTGTAATATATTTTTAAATATTCTTTATATTATGGTAAAGATTAAATTATGTTTTGGTCATTAATACTCACTTTTATATTTTCCCATCTTTTTTAGAAAACTTTAAAAATAGCCTTTAGAAAATATAAAATGGGGTTAAATCCATTTTTTTATTATTAATTATTAACTTCATTTGAATGTATTTTGTTTTAATCATTCTTTATATGTTTTTCATATTTTAGTAGATTTTTTTTTGTATTTTTTTATTTTATTTTTTCAACACTTTTTTTACTGCCCGGAACTTGTCCTGTTAGAACGATTGAATCCTCCGGTTTACCGATTAAGCCGGTTAAACCGCTTCCAAACCCATGTCCGATTAACCGTTTCGGTTCGATTTGCACCGGGCTCATAACCAAGCTCATTCGGGTTTTAAAATATTGGTGTATGTTATATATTGCGTTTCCAAAGGCATTACATCTCGATGCAATGGCCATTTTAGTCTTTCTTGCAAATTGAGGGACCTTTTGGACCATTTTATCTTCTGATATCCACCTAGATATTTATGAATTCTATGCCCTACTATTTATTCTACTATGTGCCCTTTGCTCTATGGCCCTAATTGTAGCGGCCTAGGGACCCGGGGCCCTTTTTCATAGGGGTTTTAGGGGCGGGAGCCTAAAAAATTCGACGCTCTGGGTGTATTCTCTTGGTTTAAGTTATGGACACATAGTATAGATTTTATGTAATTTTGTATTTTTATGTAATTTGTGCTTATGGTTTCTCAAAAGAGAGTCATCTTACGTCATCTTGTATTGTTTAATAATAAAAAATATATACACGGTTAGCATGCGGCCAAGCCCGTATATTTAGAAAAACGGGCTTAGCAATAACTATATTTTGAAATCTACCTCGATCTTAATTTTTAAAGAATATATAATCTTTAGCATAAAGATCTTGAATATGATAAATAAATAAATTTTAAAAATTAATAATAATAATAATATTAAAAAAATATTTAAGCCCGTAGTTACAATAATTTTTCGATAGGCCACTTATTGCATCCATCTTTAAAATAAATGTTTCATATTTTTAGACCGTATTTTGTATAAATATGGTCGAACTCGCATGAAATAATTGTTCTAAAAACGGTGACGCTTTTCACATGCAAATTTTTTGTGGGGCCAAAACCACAAAGGAGAAAACCATTTTCAATGGTGGATTTAGATGCGAGTTTCAGATTCGGCATTTTCAAATGGTGTTCTTCTTTGTGGCTTTGGAGGCGGTTTATAGTGGTTGTTTCAGTGATGGTTTTGGGGGTTATGATAGCGGTTTATGAGGCTTTGAAGGTGGTCTCGGACGCTATTGGGGTGGTTTCAGAGGTTCACATATATATGAAAATATGTGAATAGTATGGTCGTTCATTATGAAGAGAACAATATGGTCCGTCAAGGTTACGTAAAAAATAACTTTGACTTTTGCTAGACGGGGGATGAAAAATAGTGCGGCTCGTTTTGCTTTAAGAAACCCGGGATAGCAAAACAATACGGTCTGTCTAGGTTATGTAAAAAATAACTTTAACAAAAAGTCTTCTTACTTGTCCTTTTAGGTGACACGACGCAAATGGAAGAAAACAATTTGTTAGAGGTGCAAGACAGCAAATAATAATAATAATAATAATAATAATAATAATAATAATAATAATAATAATAATAATAAACATACCAAAAATTACTGAGAGACGGTGGTTTCAAAAAATAGAAAACGAGGCCGTCGCATATTCAGATCCCTTTCAGATGGCGGTCGCAAATTCAGATCGCTTTCATATAGCGATTTCTTGGTTCAATTGTACGGGATAGAATCAAAGAATAATTACGTAACAGATTTGTCTTGAAAATCGACAACAACGCTTCGGGGACGAGGAATAGACATGGTGAATATAAACCTAGCTTTGATATCATGTGAAGAGTCACAGGTTTATCTGAAGAGACTCGGTGTCCATTAATCACATGAATGTACAGAGTTGTCTTTATAAAGACAAGAAGAAATAGAAATAAATGACTGTTTACGCTCAGATCTGCGTCGATCTCTGTGATGAGATCTGTTCAAATATTAACAAAAACTGTATTATTTTTTAAGGGGTCGCTTGAATTATGGGCTGAAAAAAATTGTAGATCTATACAGATCCAGTCTTTTTATGAGTCCACTAGTAGCGCTAGCTCCAAATCCATATTTTTTACCTAAAAACGCTTCTAAATTTAATTAAATATAAGGATGAATTAGTTTCCAAAAAATATAAAATAGAGCAGATAATTAAATAATGAGAAACAAACTAAATTAAGTAAATAAATATATACTTATCTCTAGGGACCCGAAACCTGGAGTTTCAGGCTTGGATCAGGCCGCTCTTCCGATTTACACCACCATCTCCTATTTTGG